GAAGGCCGAGGCCAGGCGGCGGGCGGTCAGCGTGGAGAGGGTGTGCGCGGCCTTCAGGGCCTGCAGCTGCGTCTCCCGGCAGGGGGCGCCCTAGGGCAGAAGGGGTCTGAGGGAGCTGCGGACCCGCGATCCACAGGCATCTGGGCACCTGCGTGGCCCAGCAGGGAGCTTGGGGGGCCAGGCTGGGGAGGCCGCGCAGGCCTCATCCCAGCTGCCCGGGAAGCGGAGGCAGGGAGACTCCAGTGTAGGCAGCCGCGACAGCTTGGGAGACCGTGTCTCAGAAATAAAAAGGGCTGCCAGGTGCGGTGGCTCACACCTGCCATCCCGGCTGCCCGGGAGGCTGAGGCAGGAGGTCTGCAAGCTGGAGGCCAGCCGCGACAGCTTGGGAGACCGTGTCTCAGAAATAAAAAGGGCTGCCAGGTGCGGTGGCTCACACCTGCCATCCCGGCTGCCCAGGAGGCTGAGGCAGGAGGTCTGCAAGCTGGAGGCCAGCCAGGATAACTTGGGGGAGGCCCTAAGCATTTAGTGAGACCCTGTCCCTAAATAAAAACCAACAAGGGCTGGGGACAGGGCTCCGTGCGGAGCATTCTCAAGGGGAAGAAAGGGGGCGGTGAGTTCAAGCGCCCGCGGACTGTCCCTGGATGGGGAATTCAGGTGCTGGGCGTCGGGAAGCACTGGCCGCCCACTCTGTTCCAGCCAGTAGCACGGCCGAGCAGGCAGGATCAGGAGCCCGGGCCACGCGGGGCCACAGCTGACCAGGCCTGTGCGTCCTTGGCGAGGCCCGTGGACCTTCCAAACCTGGCGGCCCCCCTGTCCCTCGGGTGGGCAGAGCCATCCGGGTGCCCACCGGCCCCGCCCCTCGCCCTGGGTGGGCGGAGTCTCTGCGCTCACCGCCTGGTCCCCCGGCTGCCCCTGCTGGTCCCCGGGAGTCCTGCCGCCGAGCCGTCCCTCCCGCAGGGTGCGCTCCAGGTGGCTGAAGAGGTCCCAGGAGCGCTGGTCGCTGTGCAGGATGAGGCCGTGCAGGGAGTGCCCGCCGCTGGACACCAGGTGCCGCCCGGCCAGCTCCGTGTTGCTGTAACCTGCAGAGCGGGCGGCGGCGCTGCTGTCCAGGGTGACCACACCCCGCCCAGCGAGCAGCCAGCGACACCATCCCATCACGGCAGCCCAGCGGGCAGGACAGACTCCACCTAGCGTCCGTCCACCCAGCTGTCTGTCTTCTATCTGTCCGTCCGCCGGTCACCCAGCCTGTCCACGATCTCCACTGTCCCTCCCACCATCCGTCCACCCAGCTGCGGAACCAGGTAGAGCCATCCGTCTGTCAGCGTGTCCGTCCCTCCTGGTCAGCCTCGCGGGGACGACTCGGCCATGGCCCAGCTCCCACCTGCCGCCTCATCTGCCCGGTGCGCCCGGCTGCTCCAGCTAAGGCCCGGCCGGGGTCCCCCAAGGCCCCGGCGGTCACCTTGCTCCGTCTTCCGCAGCAAGCCCAGGGCCACGCAGACCTCCAGCAGCCTCCTGGTCCCGCACACGGAGGCGTCCACGGCGCGGGCCACGTCCGCCGCCCCCCGGGGCGCGCCGTCGCTGAGCAGGTCGAAGACCTTGAGCCTGCAGGCCGTGAACAGGGCCTGCGGGAAGGGCGCGCTGAGGGCTGGGGCTGGCCAGGGCCTTCCTCCCGCACCCCGGTGGAGTGGACGCTGCTAGGGGCCACCAGCTTCCGACCCCACTCGGTTCTCGCACGGAGATCCCGAGCGTCCCCGGATGCGCTCCCTG